GTGGCGGGTGCCACAGTCTTCTCCGCGCTGGAGAGCCCAGGCGAGGCGGAGGCGCGGGCGCGCTGGGGCGCCACGCTGCGCAACTTCAGCGCAGCACACGGCGTGGCCGAGCCGGAGCCGCGCGCCTTCCTCCGGCACTACGAGGCCGCACTAGCCGCGGGTGTCCGCGCCGACGCTCTGCGCCCGCGCTGGGACTTCCCCGGCGCCTTCTACTTCGTGGGCACCGTGGTGTCGACCATAGGTGAGCGGCACACGTCGCGCGCGTCTTTCCTCTCCATGCCTTCCACCTGCTGCCCTCCTCACTGCGCCGCGGCTTGGTCCGCGCCTTCCTCCGGCACTACGAGGCCGCACTAGCCGCGGGTGTCCGCGCCGACGCTCTGCGCCCGCGCTGGGACTTCCCCGGCGCCTTCTACTTCGTGGGCACCGTGGTGTCGACCATAGGTGAGCGGCACACGTCGCGCGCGTCTTTCCTCTCCATGCCTTCCACCTGCTGCCCTCCTCACTGCGCCGCGGCTTGGTCCATGTCCCCTGGCGCCTCTCTTCCCTTCCAACACCCCATTGCCTACTTTTGTCTCCGCTGGTCCCTCTCTTCCTGCCCCTTCTCTTTCCTGGCTTTTCGAGTGGGAGATGGCTTGAGAGGCGTATCTCACGCTCGCCCAACGGTGACTCGCTTGGCAATGTGACTGACCGGGAAGAGCCTCACCCAGGCACCGAACAGAGCTTAGCCTTCCAGCTCAATGAACTGACCTCGGTGCACCTCAGTTTTCTACTCTGTAAGAGGACTTGTGAGGATTTGTGTCAAGAGCCCCTTCCTTCCTGTTTCCCACCCCCGGGCATCAAGTTTCCTCATCTACTTGATTTCCACCACCCTTTCTCCTCCATTCAGCGTTTTGCTCTTCTTTCCCACGCTCTTCCTCTCCTTTCTCTCAGCGTTTTTCTTTCAGTGGTCCCTGGCCTTCTACCCCGGGGAGGGCGGCCCCTTGCCCTGGAGTCGCTTTCCCTAGATCTTCCCACTTGCTCCTGCAATCTACACCACATATTCCAGTAAAGCCATTAGTCAGAGCTCTGATCTTCAGCCACTGTTGTTTTGCATCGCACCCCTCAGTTTTCTCTCTCCCACCCAGCCTCTCCTCCAACTTCTTGACCTTTCTTTCATTCCATCTCCTTTTTTTCCAACCAGCAATGGCACAAAGGGGTAACCTGGAGCAAGGATTGTTCCTCTATGCTTTCCATTATCCCTCGTCCCTATTTTTGGTATAAATAGTTTAAGGTTTCTTAAACTTATGAAAAATGCTGTATAAATACTGCAAGCACCACACACCTTGGTCTTAGGCTTCATTGTTGCCTCTGGGCTGCTCCTGCAGGGAGAGATTTAGGATACACCACAGCTCTCCACCCAGTCCCTTCCTCTTCTTTCTTCTCTTTCACTCTCCCCCTCTCCTTACTATGGGTCCCAAGCGTCACGTAAAATACAGCTTCTCCACCCCTATCACTCACCTGTACAAGGTGCAGAAGAAATACAATCTTTTCACTTTGGCAAGACTTTGTGTGTCCCATCCACTCCTATTTCAAGTCCTAGGGTTGGAGAAGACTTGGCTAGTCATTGCTCTAGTCACCCCAAAGCACTATCTCCGGATGGTACAGTTTTGGGGGAGGTGGCTGAATTTGTTGAACTGAAAAGTGAGAGGTTCATAGACATATCTTCCATGGGTAGTTTGGTATGGCAACTCAGAGACAGGGCATAGACTAACCAGCTAACTTAAGCTACCGCACTGGCTACTTAGAGGCAGAAAGGCTGCATCGGTGCTCAGGATGTGAGCAGCTAGAGATGTCTAAGTATATATGTATAGACTATGACAGGGCTTCCATGCCTGCAGTGATTTTTCATGTGTCATGCTTGATCTGATTGTTTTAAACAGAAAAGTCAAAAGTGGCCCAAGTCCAAAACACAAATTGGATAAAAATACCCTTTAAAAGCTATATCATGTTGTTATGGTGATTGAAGATATAAAATGACCCCCTCTAAAAATCCCCTTTTAAGAGCTACATCAAGTTGCTATAGCAACTAGTTCTTTTAAAGTGGTTTAAAAGTACTAAAGATGCTTAATCCTGAAGAATGACATCATGCATTCAAAGCTCATTACTGACTTGTATTCTTTCTCTTGTAAACATACCCTTTTGCTTCCTTCTACCTAGGGACACACTTGTGCACATATTGGGTGGTTGTAGCTTTTTCTCCTAGTGATGTGCTCTGGCTTTCTAATGGAACCCACAGGCTAAAGGGGAAGGTGTTGGAAGTGTCCTCCTCCCCTATGTGCCATTCCTATTCCAGAAATCTGTGGATTCTGTACCTTACATCAATCTTGTTCACAGTCCCTTTGGAGACAGTGATTCTGAACCCCATCATAGCATCTGAAGTTTCTCACTCAACTCTTTACACAAAATCAAGTTAGCATGTTGGAAAATTATTCTATGCCCCAGCACTTAGACTACTGGTAATAGTGGCTTCTCTCTCTCTCTCTCTCTTTCTATCTTTCTTTCTTTCTTTCTTTTTTGGCTGAGGCCACATGTACTCACCAAAGAGAGACAGAGAGGAACAAGTGAAAAAGCACCCTCCCATGGGAAAGATCAGGCAGCAATCCCGTCTTCATATCTCCCTCCCTTTTAGGATGTTGGCTGAACACATGTGCCTGGTATGGTTATTTTTCTTTTTTTTGGAGAGGTTTTTGCATGCACTCACCAGAAAGAGAGAGACAGAGAGACAGAATGTGAGAAATCACGCACCAGGGGGATGGCCACGCCACAATCCCTTCTCCATTCTCCTCTTGGGATCCTGGGCATGCACACACACACACTCCCAGTGTGAGTTTAAGCCACCAGGTCCGGGACTCAAACCGCAGTTGGCTACATAGAAGTCTGGCAATGTAACCATTATGTGAACTGCTGGCCCTCCTGGGTTTTTTTGTTTGTTTGTTTTGTTTTGTTTTGTTTTTTTTGCTATAGGGCGTGTACGCTCGCCAGACAGAGAGAGACAGAGAGATAGAAAGCGAGAAATCACCCCCCAGGGCGGATGGCCATGCCGCAATCCCCTCTCCTCCATTCTCCGCTCGGGATCTTGGGCACGCATGCACACGCACCCGGCATGAGTTTAAGCCTCTGGGCCCAGGACGCAAACCATGGTCGACTATGTGGGAGTCCAGCGACATAACCATTATGCTAACTGCTGGTCCCCCTCCTGATATGTTTTTTAAGTAGCTGGATCCAAGACTTGAAGCCACAGTAGGCCATGTAGGATCCAACCACCTTAACCATCATGCCACTGGCTGGCCATGGGATTGGCTGTTCTTCAATCAAGTGGAAAGGAACTATGTTCTCTTTCTTGGCTTGTGTTTTCAGAGGACAGCTATACTGAAACATGTGGTCATGTTCAAGTAATCTAGCTCACTGCTTCCAAAATCTGCAGAGCAGCATTTGAACTAGCCTGTGGACAGTTGGGATTATTAAACTAGCAGGGATGCCAGCATGGCCGCACAAGTAGCAGGGTCTCTGTTGGTTATCTACCTGCTGTAGCATTCTGGGGCATCAGTTCAAAGTAGTCACTTTTGTCAGTCAGATGCATTCTGCTGAGTCCCCAAGTAACATGATTGTGATTTTAGTCTTTTCTTTGCAAAGTGCACTTGGATGAGATCTAAGTGTAGACCTACATATGTTGTTTCTCTTCTGCTTACATGGTCCTTTCTCTTAAATGCCCTGAGTCTTTGGAGACTGTTATTATTACTGATGCTTTTATGGATTCAAAAGTTCAGGGAGGCAAATCTCAATCTGAAATGAGCAAGCAGGAGTCTCTTTCTGATACCTCATCCAGTGAAGAAAATGATCATGTACTCAATTTTATTTGCTCAGTGAATATCACACTGTACATGGTTCACGCAACAGTGTGGAGTTCACGGGACCAAAATGATTTGGCTCAGCTATTTACACTACCTAATCATACAGGACCTTTCTTTTTCATTACACAGACCCAGCTAAATGATTCATTTAGACTTTAGTATGGAAAACACTTTCCTCGTGATGTATTGTGTATGTCAGGCCCAGTGCTATATTTTGAAATGTTAAAACTTATTCTAAATTGCAAAGGTTAAAGTGTATTCCAATCCTGCAGAATTGTAGCATTTACAAACAGCATTTCGTGGCCATCTTCACTAAAGATGATGAGAACAAGAATCCAGTCAATCCAATCGGATGTTACATAATGTTGAGGGACTTACCCAAGGGCACACAGTTAATGAAGGCTTTAGCTAGGTCCAAAATCCAAGTTATGCAGTGTATGTGCCACCAACTTGATGCATATAATTGGTGGGAATATTCTTGTCTGAGACTGAAATATTTAATAATGGTATATGTCTATCTGAGTTAGAGAGAGAGAGAATATGTGAGAGAGAAGGAAAGGAAGAGAAATAGAGAGACTCAGGCAGGGACTGGTCTGTTAGTCATGCCAATAACTGATTAGGGGCAGAGAAAACTGAAAGGGTTTAGAAAGATCTTACACATCAGACAGGTTAGAAGCATCTAGCCAGTCTTAGACAGCTGAGCAGACAAGAGCCAATGTGAAGGTCAGGAATAGAGGCACCAGCCAATAAGGGACATTCTGGTAAACTCTGGTCCAAGGATAGAAATCACTTGTTTTCTGCCTTTTTTGCACTAGTGTGTGTACATATGTACATGTGCACACTCTCAAGAGCATGTGTGTGTAGAGGAGGAGCAGAAGGAGCAG